TTAAGCTTCAGGACTAGAGACACACTGGTCTCTAGAGTTGTGAACAGTAAGCACAGACACAAACTATAAGTCAAACATATTTTAAAAGATCTGGCTCAAACTTCCCATTTACCTTCTCACGAGTCTTTTCCAGAAAAGTAAGAGCCACATTAGGATCTAGAAAAGAGAGAACAAAGTCAGAAGAACCACCAACAGAGTATCTTTACAGATTAGTTTCGACCAACCAGGACATTTTTAGGTGGGATAATCTTTAGGTTTAGACCGTAAAATACAAAACTTAGAATTTTACATTTTCTACTGAAATGCAAAAGTTCAAATAACTTATACTTCAAGATCATTTAAATTACCATTAGGATCTATTCCTTTATGAAACAAAGTGAGACTCACCAGTCATCTGTCTAACTACATGAAGAATGATTTCTACCAGGGACAAAGGATTCACCCTGAAATAAAAACCACATCTTTGAGTGTCAACAAATATCAACGTATCCATTTTCAAAAACAAAAACTGACAAAAGAGTTTTACCTGTGTTCAAATTCACTGATGAAGTTTTCATAAAGCTGTAGAACCAAAACATGGAGAGTAATTACAGGACGTCTTTCACTCGGCAAAAGCAAAACTTCAGACACTACCATGATGCCCATCACGCAGCAGGCATTGCGTAAATGTTTACTGAATGACAGAAGACCCATATTGGGGCTTATTAAGTTCACATAAATGATCACCAATCAATTACTGAAGAAAGCTATGGTTTTTTTTTTTTTTTTTCTGGCTTTGGGAATTAGAACCCTACCCTGTGAGAATCTCCCGAAGACCAACTTCTCTATTCGTCCTCCAAAGTATGCTGAGTAAACAGACTATCAGTCTGAAAGGTTCACTAACCTGACAGAGGTCAGAAGGTGGCAGGCTAATTACGTCCCATTATCAAATAGCTTAGCCATTCAGCAAACATTTGAGCACTTACTCAGACCCTTTGCTAGGCACTACAGACAGAGAATGTACAAGACAAAAACTGAGCTTTTAAGGAGCTTCTGGCCTAGTAGAGAAGAGAGACTTGCAAACAAATAAGTGACAACACTGTGAGTTAAAAAGCAAAGAAGAAAGCACATAGCTGGAGCAGCCAATGAGAGAGGTTGCAAATATTCTGCTATGAGTAGAAAGTGATTTAAAGACAAGAAGCCAAAGAAGAGAGACGAACAATTATGAATTATCCATAACGATGATACAGAACCTTAGGGAACAAATATTAAGACAGCTCTAATTTATCATTTTCCCACATATTCCAGAAGACAGCATGCCCAGCAAAATCTCCAGACTTACAGACGATTACAAGTTCCTTTGAACTTGTAAAATGTCAAACTGGTAGATATAAACCACAAGAAAATCTTAGAAGCCCAGATGGTGTAATAACAAAGTGGTAAGCTTCACTGTGAGCACATATAAAGTAATGTATTCAGGGCAAATAATTCAAACTACCATTATGAACTAGCTTGCAGTTCCAATGCATGAATCAGTTCCTCTGATTCATCCAGAATCCAAGAGAAAGACAACAAGGAGAGATGTCAGGAAAGACTTCAAAGAGTAGGCTACCAGTGAACAAATCTGGGGTGGGGTGGTTTTGTCAGGGGATCTGGGAAAGGCTGGGGCAGAGAGTGTATTTTTCTGTTGACAAAATTCTAGAAGTGCTCTATTACAGAGGCAGCATGATACTAAGCAGCATTCCCCCTCCAAGCCTCCTGTCCCCCAGTGAAGCACATCCTCCACACTGCCCAGGACAAAGCGTTCGGGCAAACAAGCAGCGTCAGTGGGGGAGAGGGAAGAGGAGTGACGGCAGTTATAACAGTTGTCCACCTTCCCTGGTGGTCCAGGGGCTGAGACTCCGCGTCCCCAGTGCAGGGGGCCCGGGTTTGAACACTGGTCAGGGAACTAGATCCCTCATGCCACAACTAAGAGCCCGCATGCTGCAACTAGATCTCGCACGTGGCAACGAAGATCCCTCATGCCCCAACTAAAACCCAGCGCAGCCAAATAAATTAACAAAAAAAAATCTATAAACAATAAGATACAGGGGCATGCTAAGAGAGAGCATTTTAGGTCGGGATTTTAGAAGGAGCCAGAATGTCTGTGTTTGAATCCTCTTCTGTCACTTATTAGCTGTGATCTATGGCAAGTCACTTAATCTCTTGGTGTCTGCCTCTACATAAAAAAAAAAAACAGGACAGAAATAGGACAGCAGTAGTACTTATCTCCCAATGCTGTTACAGGTGAATGAGTAAATGTGTAAAGCACTCAGAACAAACGGCACCTGACAAAAAGTGGTGGCTGAATAGGCTTATTGTTATAGATATTATTATTGTAAAGCCCACCTATTATTTTAAAAAGTACTTGAACACATTTATATACTCTGACCTAGCATGGCAAATCATTTACCTTAATGAGACCATCTCCTTGGGCAAAGCATGGGTCCTGCACAAAGTCAAGCACCTGAAGTGTCAGCTGATGCCACAACCTGAAAAACACAAGGCTCTTAAGACCTATAACCTAGCGTCAGTCACAGACATCTTCACCCTTGATGGTCCTATCAAATAACAAATACTAACCAGTCTCTACTGTGTAATACAAGAATGCTAAAGCGGATGTGTTTTAAAGCTGAGTTCTTTCCCTGGCTCTGCCACTCAGTGGTTATGTCACCCTGAGATCACTTAACCTCTCCAAGACTCAGTTTCCTCAGCTATGAATGGAGAACACCTTTCCAGACTACCTCAAAGCGTTGAGAGGCTTGACTGGAAACAAGAACTCTGGAATCACACATACCTAATTTGAACTCCTGGCTCTTCTACCTATTAGCTGAGTATCTCAGGGAAGGAGCTTAAACTGAGCTTCAGCTTCCTCATCTTTAAATGGGATGAAGGACTGAATGAGCTAATACAGAAAGCCTCTAGAACCATGACATAGCACACTTGAAACCAAAGGCTAATTTCTAAGAGTGCAGATAAAATGCTCTGAAAAATACAAAGTGCTACACATGCAACTATTTGCCAAAAACTAAGAATTTTCTCTCAAAAATTGCTAATAGCAGAAGGCTGCTGAACATCATCAAAACACATACTGAGGGCTTCCCCGGTGGTGCAGTGGTTGGGAGTCCGCCTGACGATGCAGGGGACACGGGTTCGTGCCCCGGTCCGGGAAGATCCCACATGCCGTGGAGCGGCTGGGCCCGTGAGCCATGGCCGCTGAGCCTGCGCGTCCGGAGCCTGTGCTCCGCAACGGGAGAGGCCACAGCAGTGAGAGGCCCGCGTACCGCAAAACAAAAACAAAAACAAAAAAACCAACACATACTGAATATCCATGTGAAAGGCACTATGCTAAAAGCTAGGGTTGTTAACAGGGAGGTATTACAAGAGGTGTATTTTTCTATGGAACATCACTAAACCAATGCCAGCAACTCATTCGATTCATTTAAAAAGAGATTATTGCTCAGCAACTGATAATTTAATTGTTCTGAAATTCACCGTTTCTAAGCAAAACTGAGACCTCTCTAGGGGCACAAAGCCCAACATGAAATGCAATAAAAAGTATGGGCCATGGGAGAGGGGAGAAGTGGTTGCACCCCACCGTGTAACCTGAGGCAGAATCAACAGGGGGAAAAAAAATAAACTGCACTGGCCTCTGGTTTATCTGCTCCAGACTGCCGAGAAAGATAACTGTAGCTACAGTGCCACTATGACAAAGCTAAGTACAAGACACCGGTATCTGTTATACAAAATGTATGGCAGCCTGACCCCAAAAGGGTGTTTTGCTTGTTTGACTGGAATCAAGAGGTAAAATCAGAGCCCTGAACCGTTTTCGTAAGTCCAGAAGGAAGGGGAGTTTCGAAGCCTCAGTCACAGCCCCTCGGTCTGGAAGGCAGTGAACCCTAGATCCCAAAACCCAGCCTATGGCTCTCCTCCTCGGTCCTTGTGGGATGTCACCCCCTCCCTCGTCGGCCCTGCCTTCCGGGGTCCTCAGCGCACCTCCTCGGTCTAGCCTGTCCCCACTCTCTCCACACGGGTCTGAGCGCCCTCAGTCCATCAAGGTCCCGGGCCTCCCCCGTACCCACTCCGTGTCGCTCTCCCATCCCAGAACGCCCGGGTCCCCTTGGCTCGGGGCTCACTTCTTAGTGTAGAGCTCCTCCAGACGGTGCCACACGGCGGCCTGGCCGGGACCGGAGCTCTGGCTCTGCTGTAAGAAGCCGGGTACGTCCTTCATGACGGGAGGAAGACGCCGGGACAGCGGTACTGCGGGGATGGCCAGGCCGCGGGGTAGGGCTGCCAGAAATGCTCACTCACTTCCGGCGCCGCGTCGCGCGGGGCAGGCCGGGAACGCCATACGCGACGTGGGGCGCTCCTGGTTGTCATGGTAACCGTGCCTATTTCCTTCGGGCAGAGTTCTCCTCAAGATTTGTACCGGAATCCCCTGGCAGCTGGCCGTGCTACTCTGGCGTTGAAGAGTACGGGCGCCTGGGTCGAACCAGCCATCGACTGGCTGTGTGGCCTCGGCCTTTGTGACCCAGTGTTCCCGATTCAAGTGGGATGATAACAATACTACCTTCCTAGTAGTGGCTTTCGAGGACTAAGTATAAATATGATGCCTGTCCATAGAAAGCACTCCCAAAGTGTTAGTTATCATCGCCATCTCAATTGAAAAAAGGTGGGAGCGAGGGTAGAGAAATGCAGGTTCCTGGTTTGGTCTCGGGTACCAGAGGAGGGAGATCATCAGACTAGGAAACCGGCCCCACCTTCCGTCCACCTCCACCTGGGCTGCCGGGGCCGGGAAAGAGAGCGCGAGGCTGTGGTAAGGGCTTGCGGGAGCGGGGCGCTGGGGGACGGGGAAAGAGAGCGCGGGGCGAGGGTGCACCGAGAGGGGCGGGGCGCGCTGGAGGTGGGGAAAGAGAGCGCGAGGGTGTGATAAGGCCTTGCAGGGGAGGGACTTTCGGGGGTGGGGCGTGCTCGGGGGCGGAGCACGCACGTGACCCCTGGGCGCCTGACGCTGCGGGCTCTGGAGGAACATGGCGCTGTGGGCTTGTTCAGTTGTTCCCGCCCTCAGGCTTTGGGGCCTGGGAGGTGCGCGGCCCTGGACCCGCCGGCCTTGGTTTGTTCCGGGTGACGGCGGCGGCGGGGGTGGCGGGCGGGGCCCAGGGCGGAGACTGACCCGCTCAGGGGAGCGGAGGAGTCAGGCTTCCCCCTGCGTGGTCGGCGGGACGATTGGAGGACCTGAAAATGGCAAGTCCCTGCTCACGCGGCCCTGAAGGGTGTTCCGGAGACACCCATGGCATTCGTTTCTCGTTTCTTCCCGGGGTATTTTGGGCGTGTATAAGCAACATTACTTGTTTATTCTTGACATCCCGCCCCCTTTTTAGTTAGATTCTATTCTGTACCTGTCCTTTTTTACTTAACATGTCTTGGAGTTACTTCCATTCTAAACAAATGTTTTCTGAGCCTTTTATACTAATCTGTAGAATTCCATTATATGGATGTTTCATACTTTAACGAGTCTCTTGTTGAAATGGGTTCTAATCTTTAGTTATTACAGATAATGCTGTGTTGAATAACCTCGTTTGTACCTCACTTTTTGGATAAATTTCTAGTAGTGGAACTCCTGCGTCTACATTTTATTGCCCCACATAAAGGTGGTGCAGTTAATACTCCCACCAGCGTATGTTCATACCCCTTCACAGGTTCATACACAATAATTGCACATTTTGAGTTCTTGTCTAGGAACTGAACCTACAAGTGGAAAAATCTTAAGGCCCATAGTTGCTAATCAGAGTAGTTAGGAAACTAACTTAAATGCCCACTAATGGTCAAGTGTTTACGTAAATAATGGTACGTTCATTTAATGCCTTCTTACACAACTACCAAAAATATCGAAGAGTTTCATAAAGAAATACCAAGGAGGAGTCTTTCTTTCATCCAAGAAACTTTTAATTGGGCTCATTATCTACCAGACTGTTCTAGATGCTAGGATGGAGCCGGGGTCAGACGAACTGTTGCCTCCATGGAGCTTATTCCAGTTTCAGAATCTGCAGGCAGTTGTGTGGGTGGGGCATGGCTAAACAGTGACCCGGGCCACCAGGTGCTGATCAGGAGACCGCCATCATTCAGTAAACCCTGCTCCCACTCTCCCCACCCGCTGCTCCCACCATCAAGCAGAAGGCTGGAGGGTGCCTGCGAGGAGCAGTCCGTTTGCACAGGCTGTCTGCAAGTTGGAAGTTGTGCCTTTTTAGGGCTCTTATAAGAAATTGTCCTTTGTTGCCGTTTCCCAGGCAGCACCCATGCTTGCCCCTCAGAGCACCCCTACTCCCAGTAACTCTCATTCCATGTAGCATATACTTTAAGTCATTCAGTATGTTCTAGACATTCGGCAAAATTCTGCCGGGTGTTTTTCAGCGACAGACGTTTTACTGATGTAGATGAGAAATACACATCAAGTACCCTGAGTAATACCTTGCATGCAAGTAGGCACTCAACATTGGTAATGACTTCTACAACATGGGTATTTTTTCAACACCAGCAAGCAACTCTCCGCTTTTCCACAGACACCGACGGGGTGTCAAATTTAACTGAATTCTGACTCTGTCAGCCTGGAGATAGCACCAGCTTCCACAGGTTAAGGGCTCAGTCCCACAAGACTGACACCACTTCAGCCGCCAATCCAGGTTCACCTGTCCTTCTGACGAACTGACTACAGATCGGAGGTTCCCACGACCCCCTCCTCTGGTTGGATTCACTTGCTAGAGCGGCTCACAGAATTCAGGAAACCAGTTTACTTACTAGATCGCGGGTTTATTATAAGGGATATTAAAGGATATGAATGAACAGCCAGATGGAGAGATATGTATATAGGGCGAGGTTTGGAAGGGTTCTCAATACAGGAGCTTCTGTCCCTGTGGAGTTTAGGACCTGGCACGTGGAAGCTTTCTGGTTCACCAACCTGGCAGCTCTCTGAACCCCCTCCTTTTGGGTTTTCATGGAGGCTCCAACCCTCTAATTGTGGTCGGTCCCCCTGGCAACTATATCCCCATCCTTAGGGGATTTCCAATGGTCACCTCATTAACATAAACTCAGTGTAGTTGTGAGAGGCTTGTTATGAATAACAAGACACCCATTTCACCTTCACGGCTCTGAAGTGATTTTAGGAACTGAGGCCAAAAGGCCAAATATTGTAACGAAAGATGCTCCCGTTGCTCTTAGGAAATTCAGAGAGTTCTGGGACAGAGACCAAAATATATATTTATTATAAATCACAGTATCACAACTTCCCTCTCATTCCTTTTGCATTTCTCATAATAATTTGCATTTAGGAGGAGCTCAGTAAATGTTTGGGTGAGGACCTTAGGTGAATAGATGTTGTTGATGCTGTGTGCAGGGGGGCATTTAATAGCTGTGGTTGGAACCAGAACCTTCTCTTTCCTTCCTAACCATCTGACTGGTTTTCATCGGAAAACCCTCTTTGGAGATTTCATTGACTTTTGCACTCAGAAGAGCTGCCTTCACAGGTGATTTTATGCAAGTCTTTGATGCAGCAGAACTTTCTTCAGAATCTAGGGGCCTCTCTGCAAGAGCCTGGGGAGGAGTGGGGAAGCATTGTTTTCCCTGCTGCATCTATTTCCTGTACCTTCTGCTGGGAGGTTTACAGCTATGGATTTTTTTCAAAAGACTGTAGGAATCGTCTCTGGCTCCCTTGCTTTTAGCTTCGGCAGCTGAGGCTCAGGGTGCTTGAGCGACTTGGTGAGACAGGCAGTGAGCTAGGGCTGTGCCTCTCCTTTTGGTGCCCTCGGCCCTGCCTTCCCTTGCCACGTTCCTCTTTCTCATCACACACCTTTCTGAGGTCTGTTCTTTGGAAAACCAAGATGATGCTTTGTGTGTCAGGAGAGGCATCACAAATGGACTGAGTGGCCAGCAAGCCCCTGAGTTGCACTGTCATTTACCCCAGAGTGGAGTGTGAGAGTGCAGGAAGGGAAGGGGTGACAGGCACCCTAAAGGGAGGAGGGGGAGCCAGCACTGTCACCTTTCAGAGGAGGGCGAAGTGACTTCTCACCGGGTTCATCAGTGGCTTCATGAAGGAGGTGGCCTTGACTCTGGGAGACTTTGGACACGCTGAGGTGGAAAAAGGTCTTTTCAGGCAAAGGAGCTGGGTTTAGGGTGTATACGAGAACCAGGAAAGGAGGGGTCTGTGAGAGGGAGTAGCGGGGTTGAAGCCATCACTGGGGCGGGGTGTGTTGTGCTAAGATGTTAGGGTGCTCTGGCTGGCAGAGGGCGTCTGGGCAAACCTCACCAGCCGTGTGTAAGCAGGTGGGTCTGTGCAGATTTTTCAGGAACAAGAGAAAAACCAAAGACAGAGCAAACAAGGGAGTGAGTTAGGGTCGCACTCCTGGAGGATAAGCTCTGGGTTGTCCTGACCTGTGTGTAAAGATGTGCTTTTAGCCTGTTTCTTGCTTGTATCACAAATGAGTAAAATAAATACTCTGTTTCCTGTTTTTATGTCTGTATTCACTTTAGATTTGTCAATCGTTTGGGGAGGGCTGTCGTTTCAGTTGGTTTAATCTCTTTTCCTGTCAGGGTGGAGGGCGATGTCCCGGAGGCGGGTCATCAGGCCCTTCTCCTGGAGGATGGGTGTGGTAGCTGCCAGCCCTTGGGGTGTGAGGAAGGTGCCCTGTGTGGTGGGGCTGGCCGTCTTGAACTCTGGGTGAGCTGCCAGAGTGCTGCCAGGCGGTGATGAAGTTGTGCAGCTCAGGCAGCTGCCAGATGAGGGCCCCGAGAGCAGATCAGTAAACCCAGAAGGCCTTCAGGCCCGCACTCGTCTCTAGCCTGCGCGCCCCCAGTGGCTGCAGACTTGCTTCAGTGGAACGTGTTTCAGGTGTCGCTCCAGGCTCTGTGCTGTCTGTGTTGCCCTCGTCTTCTTCCGGGTGCTTTCCTGGGTTTGGAGTCACTTACTGAGTCCTGATGCCTCTCCGAAGCCTGTGACTTGTTTATTGTGTGTCTTGCTCTTTTTGTGTGTGGAAGAGCACCTCACCCCTGACCGTTAAACTTGTTGAGAGCGTCTCAGCTCCTGGTCTCTGGAGTTTTGCGGGGAGACCCCGAGGTCCAGTCTGCCCACTGCCTTGCCTGGGTTCTGTGACTTGTTTGGCTGCCATGTAACATGAGCAGCCTCCTGAGTAGTCGTGGACGTTGAAGTTTCTGCAGCAGTTTGAATCGCTCACTGTTAGGATATGAATGTTTGTTTTTGGAATGGTCTCTTGAACCCACTTATCATCCTGGTAATATTTGGTGTAAAGTCTGAGATGTTTAACTTTCTTTAAATGTCACTGAGTATTTGTCACGTCCCAGGTATGTTGGGGCGTATGGCTCTGCAGAGAGTATCCCCAGAGACCCCGCACAGAGACGCCCTTGGCTCTAGCTTGAGCCTTCAGCGCTAGCCTTTGATAACAGGAATTGTGAAATGATACTTTCCTTATTTGCACAGTTGCTATTAACCTGAAATACATCTTGATTTCTGAGTTTGTATTTTATCCATGGTGAGAAAGGTGGTCGTTTGGGGGGCAGGAGGGAAGTGTGCGGCCATTCTCAGTGGTGGGGTTGGGGAGGGGAGACATGGCTCATTCTTGCTAGCATGAACTGGATTATCATCGGTTACGTGACTGCTCTCCTTTTCCTGTCAGTGTTGCAGGTGGAGGAAGGCCCATATCTTTTTCTGCCGGTGCCTCAAGTGTCTCTGGAAGCGGAGGCCACAGTCAGAAGTTTCTCCTGCAGGACATTGCTGAGCTGATTAAAACCAGAGCCTGCCAGAGGGTGGTGGTCATGGTGGGGGCCGGCATCAGCACACCCAGCGGCGTCCCAGACTTCAGGTGCCGTGCAGTCCCCATGCACCTCCCTGGCTGCCTGGGGCTCTCTCCTGAAGGGCTCAGAGCCTCTTGCTTCTCTCTGCAGATCTCCAGGGACCGGATACTACAGCAACCTCCAGCAGTACAAGATCCCCTACCCCGAGGCCATTTTTGAGCTGTCATTTTTCTTTCGCGATCCCAAGCCGTTTTTCACTTTTGCCAAGGAGCTATACCCTGGGAACTATAGGCCTAATGCCACTCACTACTTCCTGCGACTGCTCCATGACAAGGGGCTGCTTCTGCGGCTCTACACACAGAACATCGATGGGCTTGAGAGAGGTGAGACCTCCGTCCTGTCTCACATCTTCTCACTCCTGCAGGGAAGGCTCAGGTGCCTGTTTCTGGGTAGGGCTGAGGCCCAGTGCTTATTCCCCATCCTTGTGACTGATTTTGAGCCAAAAAGTTTTGCCTTTGTCCCCCCCAAAAATGTCCTCTGTGTGTTTAAGTATCACTGTTGGGACCTCATTGGTGGACCCATTTTCTGGGCTGTGAGTTTGGGATAGAACTAAAGTTGACATTGGGAGCTTCTGATCCGTTGATTTCTTTTCTTTTTATATGTATATATTTTAAAATATTTATTTATTTATTTATTTGGCTGCATCAGGTCTTAGTTGCGGCACACAGGATCTTTGTTGCGGTGCGTGGGCTTCTCTCTAGTCGTGGCGCACGGGCTCCAGAGCACGTGGCCTCAGTAGTTGCGGTACACAGGCTCTCTAGTCGTGGCACGTGGGCTTAGTTGCCCTGCGGCATGTGGGATATTCGGTCCCCAACCGGGGATCAAACCCATGTCCTCTGCATTGGAAGGCGGATTCTTAACCACTGGACCGCAAGCGAAGTCCCCTAATGATTTCTTTTTTAAAGTTTTCATTATGGGATTTTCCGAGCACACAAAAATGAAGAGAAGAATGTAATGAATCCTCATGTCCTCATCACCTCATCATGGCTAGTCCTGTTTAATCTGTGTCCTACCCCACCTCTCTCTCACCCCCAACTATTTTGAAGCAGATCCCTCTCATCATAAATTTAATACATAAATCTAGCAATGGATATCTTTAGAAGATAAAGACTTTTAAAACACAACCATGATATTGTCACACAGAGAAATCACTCATAATTCCTTAAGTTCATCAAACTCAGTGTGTGGTGATTTCTTGACTGCCTAGGTGGCGGCCACAACCAGTGATTCATGGGTCATACTGTCATACAGACCCCTGGCCGTGCACCCTAGAGAAGCAGTTGCCGGGGCCTCTTCTTACGTGCAGTGACGCTGGCAGGTGCTGACAGGCAACTCTCAGCAAGCCAGCGGCAGCTCAGCCAGGCTGTGGGTGTGTTGTGATTCGAAAAATGGAGTTATCTCGACTCCAGGAAAATGTTTCTTTGCTAGAAGGACTCTACAGCTTGGAACCACATAGGCAGCAGTGAATACCCCATGGGGACAGTCTCTCTCCTGGAGTTGCAGCAGGGCAGGCCTTGTGGGAAGGCGGGAGTGTGTGGCTGTGAGCCTCGGCGTATGTACAGTGAGGACAGTGGGAAACCACTGCAGCTAGGACCAGGTCTGTGTACCTACAGTCTTCCAGAGCTGACGGTGATAACAAAAACTTCATGATAAGTTACCTTTTGTCTGTTTTTCTACAGGTTTTTGGAAATGTATTTATAATATTTTCTCACTTTTACTAGGTGTCTGTAGCATAGAAAATGTTTTTCTTAGTATTGGGTGTACTTTTATCTGGACTTAAATGTTTTTTCTACTGTGTTTTCACAGGCTTTGTTTTAACTGTGATTCGGCTCCATGTTGGAGCCTCACCCCTGAGGTTATTCTGATCAGTGGGTGTCGTTTGTAGGTGACAGAGGCGGGGCCGTCGGGCTTCCACCAAGGGCAGTGACTCCTGGAGGGCCTGCTCAGCCCAGAGGTTACACTAAGGGGCTTCCGCCCAAGCTGGGGGCAGCAGCACTTAGCTTTGGTTTGAATTTCAGCGTCTGGCATCCCTGCCTCAAAGCTCGTTGAAGCTCATGGATCCTTTGCCTCTGCCACCTGCACCGTCTGCCGAAGACCCTTCCCAGGGGAGGACTTTTGGGTGAGTTGTCACACTGACAGTTCTCTCCCTTCTGCCTTTCTCACTGGGAGTAAGCTGGAGAAGCGGTGTTGCATAAGCATCATGTCGGAAGGACAACAGAACAGTAATACTAAGGAAAATATTTTTAATATGTACTTGTAAAAAATTAAGGCAATACAAACAACAAGGATTTACGGTATAGCATAGGGAACTAGCTTTAATAACCTATAAGGGAAAAGAATAAAAAAAGAATATGGATACATACATATATAGACACATGTATAACCGAATCCCTTTGCTGTACACCTGAAACTAACACAATATCGTAAACCAGCTGTACTTCAGTTTTTTAAAAATGTGCAAGTCCTAACTCCCAGTACCTGTAAATATAAACTTATTGGGCCATAGGATCTTTTCAGATTAAAAAAAAAATAAGGCAATAGAGAAATATATAGGGAAAAATGAATCTGCCTTCATCCAGTTCCTGTAGCCCACTTTTAACAGTTTGGTGTATAATGTTCCAGGCCTTAAAAAAAGAAAGATATGTATATACAAACATACATGCACACTTCTGGGTACTTACACCGACACACAGTTACAATTTTTTTTCATTAATGGGGTCATTAAGATTAATGTGCAACATGCTTTGTCACTGAGCAAAATTTCATGGATATTTTGTGTCAATAACTACAGCTCTACTTACTGTTTTTAGTAACTATAGAGCATTCCATTTAGCAATTCACCTGTTGTGGGATATGTTATGATGTTTGTGATTTTTACTATTAAAAATAATACAGTAATGATACCCATGTTTACACCTCTGTGTACTTCTGGGAATATTTGGGAATAGAATTTTTTTTTTTAATTTTATTGAAGTATAGTTGATTCACAATGTTGTGTTTAATTTCTGCTGTACAGCAGAGTGACCAGTTATACATATATATATTCTTTTTCACATTCTTTTCCATTATGGTTTATCACAGGATATTGAATATAGTTCCCTGTGCTATACTGTAGGCCCTTGTAGTTTATCCATCCTATATATAATAGTTTGCATTTGCTAATCCCACACTCCCAATCCATCCCTCCCACACCTCCCTACCCCTTGGCAACCACAAGTCTGTTCTCCTTCTCTGTGAGTCTGTTTCTGTTTCGTAGATGTGTTCATTTGTGCTGTATTTTAGATTCCACGTATAAGTGAGATCCTATGGTATTTGTCTTTCTCGTTCTGACTTACTTTGCTTAGTATGATCATCTCTAGGTCCATCCATGTGGCTGCAAATGGCATTATTTCAGTCTTTTAAATGGCTGAGTAATATTCCATTGTATATATCTATATACACCACATCTTTATCCTAGAATGGGTTTTTTTGGTTTCTTTTTTTTTTTTTTTTTTGCGGTACGCGGGCCTCTCACTGTTGTGGCCTCTCCCGTTGCGGAGCACAGGCTCCGGACACGCAGGCTCAGCGGCCATGGCTTACAGGCCCAGCCGCTCCGCGGCATGTGGGATCTTCCCGGACCGGGCCACGAACCCGTGTCCCCTGCATCGGCAGGCGGACTCTCAACCACTGCGCCACCAGAGAAGCCCTGTTTGTAGATTTTTTCATGATGGCCATTCTGACTAGTGTGAGGTGATACCTCCTTGTAGTTTTGATTTGCACTTCTCTCATAATTAGTGATGTTGAGCATCTTTTCACGTGCCTCTTGGCCATCTGTATGTCTTCTTTGGAGAAATGTATATTTAGGTTAGGATTTCCGTCCATTTTTGGATTGGGTTGTTTGTTTTTTTGATATTGAGTTGCATGAGCTCTTTGTATATTTTGGAGATTAATCCTTTGTCCGTTGATTCATTTGCAAATATTCTCTTCAATTCTGAGGGTTGTCTTTTCATCTTGTTTATGGTTTCCTTTGCTGTGCAAAAGCTTTTAAGTTTCATTAGGTCCCATTTGTTTATTTTTGTTTTTGTTTCCATTACTCTAGGAGGTGGGTCAAAAAAGATCTTGCTGTGATTTATGTCAAAGAGTGTTCTTCCTATGTTTTCCTCTAAGAGTATTATAGTGTTCGGTCTTACATTTAGGTCTTTAATCCATTTTGAGTTTATTTATTTATTTATATACAGTTGGTTTTTTTTAATAGTTTTTTTTTTTTTTTTAGATGTTGGGGTAGGAGTTTATTAATTTTTTATTTTTGCTGCGTTGGGTCTTCGTTTCTGTGTGAAGGCTTTCTCTAGTTGTGGCAAGTGGGGGTCACTCTTCATCGCGGTGCGCGGGCCTCTCACTACAGCGGCCTCTCTTGTTGCGGAGCACAGGCTCCAGACACGCAGGCTCAGTAGTTGTGGCTCACGGGCCTAGTTGCTCCGTGGCATATGGGATCCTCCCAGACCAGGGCTCGAACCCGTGTCCCCTGCATTGGTAGGCAGATTCTCAACCACTGCGCCACCAGGGAAGCCCCATGAGTTTATTTTTGTGTATGGTGTTAGGGAGTGTTCTAATTTCATTCTTTTACATGTAGCTGTCCAGTTTTCCCAGCACCGCTTATTGAAGAGACTGTCTTTTCTCCGTTGTATATCCTTGCGGAAGGTGGATTCTTAACCACTGGACCACTGGGGAAGTCCCTAGAATGGGTTTTTTAAAGTAGAGTAAGATAGGGTGGAAAATCTTAAATAAAGATGAAATTCTGAAATATCAACATGGCACAGGATCCTGTCTTTTATTTTTTATTGAGGTGAAATTCACATAGCATAAAATTAACCATTTTAAAGTGTACCGTCTATTGGTATTTAGTACATTCACTGTGTTGTGCAACCGCCACCTCTGTCTAATTCCAAAATATTTTCATCACCCCAAAGGAAAACCCTGTATCCACTAATCAGTCAACCCTATTCCCTTCCTGCCCCCAACCCCTAGCAACCACTGATTTTTAAAAAAATTCTATTGGAGTGTAGTTGATTTACAGTGTTGTGTTAGTTTCAGGTGTACAGCAAAGTGATTCAGTTATACATATACATATATTCATTCTTTTTCAGATTCTTTTCCCGTATAGGTTATTACAGAATATTGAGTACAGTTTCCTGTGTTATACAGTAGGTCCTTGTTGGTATATAGTAGTGTGTATATGTTAATCCCAGGCTCCTAACTTATCCCTCCCTACCACGTTTCCCCTTTGGTAGCCATAAGTTTGTTTTTGAAATCTGTGAGTGTGTTTCTGTTTTGTAAATAAGTTCATTTGTATCATTAAAAAAAATTAGATTCCACATATGAGTGATATCATATATATGTCTTTCTCTGTCTGACTTCCTTCACTTAGTATGGTAATCTCTAGGTCCATCCATGTTGCTGCAAATGGCATTATTTTGTTATTTTTTATGGCTGAGTAATATTCCATGGTGTATATGTACTACATCTTCTTTATCCATTCCTCTGTTGATGGACATTTAGGTTGGCAATCACGGATCTTTTTGTTGTCTCCATAGTTTTGCCCTTTCCAGAATGTCATAGAGTTGGAATCATACAATATGCAGCCTTTTCTCACTGGCTTCTTTCACTTAGCATTATGTATTTAAGGTTCCTCCATGTCTTTTCATGGCCTGATAAGCACTTTTTTTTTTTTAGGCTAATATTCCATTTGCTGGATGTAACACAGTTTGTTTATCCATTCACCTACTAAAGGACATCTTGATTGCTTTGGCAATTATGAATAAAGTTGCTATAAACATCCATGTGCAGGTTTTTATGTGGACATAAGTTCCTCTGGGTAAATACCAAGGAGCGTGATTGCTGAATGCTATGGTAAGACTGTGTTTAGTTTGTGTCTTCCCAAGGGGCTGCCCCATTTTGCATTCTCAGCGGCAGTGAATGTGAGTTCCTGTTGCTCCACATCCTCATAAGCACTTGGTGTTGTCAGTGTTCTGATTCTGGCCGTTCTTAATAGGTGTGTAGTGGAATATCATTGTTTAATTTGCAATTTCCTAGTGGCATATGATGTTGAACTTGTTTCATATGCTCATTTACCATCTGTATATCTTCTTTGGTGAGGTCTTGGGCTCAGTTTTTAACTGGGTTGCCCATTTTCTTATTGTTCTTTATCAGATGTGTCTTTTGCATATTTTCTCCCCGTCTGTGACTTGTCGTCTCATCCTCTTATTGTCTTTCACAGAGGAGAAGTCTTTAATTTTAATGAAGCCTGACTTACCATATTTTTCTTTCATCGATCGTCTTCTTCCGGATCGTGCTGGCTATTCTGAGTCTTCTGCTTTCCGTATCAGCTTTAGAATCAGTCTGTTGCTATCTATTCTCTGCATATTTTAAAAAACTTTTCTCTTTGGAGTTTTGCACTTTACTATGGTTTGTCTCCGTATGGATTTCCTTTTGTTTATTCTGCTTAAAAATTGTAGAGCTTTCTGAATCTGAGGTTTGATATCTTTCATTTTTGCTGAAAAATCTTCAGTCATGATCCCTTCAGACAGTGACTGCCCCACCATGTCGTGTCCTCTCTGTGTGGACCTTGGGTGAAACACCTCTGAGACTGGTTCACACTGTCCGCAGCCCTTGGCGGCTCTTTTCTACACCCATCCTGCTCGTCTTTGTGCTGCATTCTGGGTTCTTCTCCTGATCTACTTTCCAGTTTATCGATATTCTGTTCTGTCATAGAGGATAAAGCCCTTCCACTGAGCTTTAATTTTCGATACTCTACTTTTTATTACTGGAAGTTCTATCTGGTTCTTTTTCAAATCCACGACATTATTTTGTATAGCTTTCTATCTCCAATAGATATTTCAAGCCTGTCTTTTTAAAAATTTACCCATAATATAGTTTCTAATCTGTATCTGCGAATATCTGAAGTCGTTGACCAGCCCATCTCTTTTGTCTGTTGTTTCTGCTGCTCCTTACTGGGTTCTGCCTGCAAAAACAAATCCCATTAGCTGTAAAGGTTTATCTTAGAAGCCAGGTGTCTTTTTCCTTAGTTTCCTCCTCTAATGTCTAGCCCAAGCATGAATCCAAGTGTAGCAGGATATAATAATAGCTTACATCTGCTTCACCTTGGCCTGCAAGGAGGAAGTCTGTGGAAAATGTTGTGACTCATAACTCCAGCCAGTGAGTTGAAGCCGACCTGAATGTCTTCAGGGCTAAGGTGATGATGTCAGGATCACTTCAGCTAAAATCAGGGACAAATTGAATAATGCCTGTTGTTGGCCAAATGCCTACAGAGTACTTCTGAGGACTATATAATCAGTACAGTTGACCTTTGAACACGGGTTTGAACTGTGTGGGTCCACTCATATGTGGATTTTTTTCAATAAATGTGTACTCCAGGACTACTTGATCCATGGTTGGTTGAACCACAGATACAGAGGAACCATCTGTACAGGGGGTTAACTAACTCTAAGTTCTGTATAGATTTTCATTTGTGCGGAGGGTTGGTGCCCCTGACCCCTGTATTGTTCCAAGTTCAGCTGTGTTTCCTCAGCACCTGCATATCTCTGATAAGCACCCCAGGTGCAGAGCGTAGTGTTCAATGCGTTGGATATCGTATGGTGTCCATGATCTGCTTTCAAATACTGCAAGCTTCCCAAACTCTGGGGTGCTATATGAAACTGGCAGAGTGTCAGTAATTGCTGAAGCTGGGTTCATTATAGACAGGGGGCTTCACTGTAGTACTGTCTCAGCTGTGGAACGCTTGACAGTTTCTCAATAAGAAGCTGGTTTTGCCTTTTCCGTTTAAAGTGTGTTGTGACAGCTTCCTTGGGCCCCCTTTCTCTCTGTGTCACCCCAGGCCGACGTGATGGTGGACACGGTCCCACGCTGCCCGGTCTGCACTGGCGTTGTGAAGCCCGACATCGTATTCTTTGGGGAGATGCTGCCCCACAGGTTCCTGCTGCATCTGGCTGACTTCCCCATGGCAGACCTGCTGCTCATCCTTGGGACCTCTCTGGAGGTTTGTCAGCAGGCCTTGCGGTGCACAGACCTGTGGGGAGGAGGCTGGCGGGACGAGGCAGAGGAGGTGGGGCTGGTGGGACAGACGCTCTGGGGCCACACCTCTGGAAGATGAGTGGATTCAACATGCGAGGAGGCAGAGGTGTTCCAGGCCTAGAATGGGGAGCAGGGAGGATGCTCAGCGTTGGAGGTATCCAGAGTGCAGGTGGGCACAGTGCGCAAGGGGAAGGGGTGTGGGAGACGTGAGGCGGGAGCAGGTCTCCCAGGTCGTATCACAGAGACCGACCTTGTGTAGAGGCAGTGAAACCAGGGATGTAGCTGGTCATCCTCGGGATCAGAGAGACTTGGGGACAGGGACTGAAGTGAGCAGATGTCCAGGAGGCTGAGCACAGTCAGACTGCGGGGCTATGAGAGACGGCAGAGAGGGAACGGCTGGACTCGGAGCCTGGCGTCACTTTGAGGACCGAAGAGAGAGGTGTCTGTCTCTTCGTGGGGGTCAGGGCCTTTGCTGGGGAGGGGGAATCTGGATCAGGGATGCTGAGTGCAGTCCTGCACACGTGTGTTTGAGGGGCCTGGGAGATGCCTCCGGATTTGAAGCTCAGGAGACTTCTAAAGGACGTGATGAGACCCTGAAATGGGCTGCGCCTGATTGGATGCAGGCACCAAGGGGCAGAGGGGCCAGAAAGACCTGTGCCTGGGGCCCCAGCCAGTCAGAGGCCCAGAGCTGTGTGTTTCTTCAGTGAACCTGCCTGCTGTGTGCCAGGCCCTGTTGCAGTGTGTGTGTCAGGACCCGCTCAGTGGTGGCCCCTCTGTGAGGGGCCGGGCCCTTGCTCTCAGGGAGCGAGACCAGATAGACGAGCTGTCATGTCACTGGTGAGTGTGGATGAGGAGGGCAGGTAAGGTGGTGTGCATGAACTTTAGCAGGGAGACCCACAGGACCCAGGAGATGTCGGAAGAGAAAGGGGGCGTGGATGAGAGGCAGGCTGGGGTGGGGGAACAAGGGCATCGAGACCCAGCGGTGGGAGTGCTACTGAAGAAATGAAACGGATGCTGGGTTTTCTCCATATCCAAGGTCTCACTGTCAGTCTGTGCTGTCCCTCCGAGGCTGCAGGGGCTGTGGCAGAAAGGTCCTGAGGGCTTGGGAGGGCGGGCACTGTGCTCCTCACGTTTGGGCAATTTTTCAGGTGGAACCTTTCGCCAGCTTGTCTGAGGCCGTGAGGAGCTCGGTGCCCCGACTGCTCATCAACCGGGACTTGGTGGGGTCCTTGGCTAGGCATCCTCGGGGCAGGGATGTGGTCCAGCTGGGGGACGTGGTTCACGGTGTGAAAAGGCTGGTGGAGCTTCTGGGCTGGACGGAGGAGATGCGGGACCTCATCCAGCGGGAAACTGGAAAGGTAGGGACGGCTGAGAGTCACGGGAGGGGCCATCTCTTCTACTCTGGGGTCTGGTCAACCTGGAGTGGCGCCCTCTTTGGCTAAAACAGTAACAGTAATAGGTAATATTGCTGTTAACCCTGTACCAGGCACTGTTTGGCGCCATCTATGTGCTTATGAATCGGGTGCTGTGATTCTTAATACCTCTGTTTAGAGATGAAGAAACTGATGCTTCGTTCCTGCTGAGTGGCAGAGTGGAGATGAGGGTCTAGGCAGACAGGGCTGTCGTTCTGCAGTCGTCACACTTCAGCTGTCTTTGTACCCTAAACTGAAGGAGCACTCCAGGATAAGATGTGATTCTGAAGTTCTCTGAACCTGTGTGGGATGATGCTTTTAGGAGATAATCAGAGTGAGAGGAGTTGACGTATCATCTGCTGAGCGTAGAAAGTCAGAGAGCCTTGATCTCTCTAGATGTCAAACCTCCTATAAACAAGTGAGGTTACAGAAGATGCAGTTTCCCATGAGAATCAGTTAGCACGTGTAGCCTTGATGTGAGGGGTTCTTTTCTACAGGGGGCAGCATTAAGCATTTTAAGTCCAGTTGTCTCAAAGAGGATTATTTATGATGACAGCCAGGTTTAACACTGCTGGAAGTGGACTTCACTAGAATGCTGTAAGTTATATTCTTGCCATCTTGGGAAACCTCTCACCTTCTGGCTGTGGCTGCTTCAGGACTCAGGGCCATGAGTCAGCCCTTTCCTCTCACCTCCACTGGCAAAAGCCCCCAGCCTCTGGCTACAGCCTGATTTCTTACCAATTTGAACCAAAGCAAGAAGAATATGAGGCTTTTTAAAGATATAAGACTTTGCAGTTATATTGTTTTCATGATATTAGACATCATTGCCTTTCAATCCAGAGTTTGGCTCTTAGGGATAAGATGTAGGACGGTGCCATTTCTCATCTCATTATATGGAGGAAATAAAGACCATCAAATGTTAAAGTCACGTTGCTGGGTCGCTTAATGGAAGCAGAGTCCGGCTAATACGGATGCTTACACTTTACACCTCGAGAGGAACCGTAGCAGATGCCTTGCTCACAGGGGAGTAGAGATCTTGGTCAGATCCGCCTGGCAGCTTACACAGGAGCCTTGGGTGGCTGACTTCCTACTTCCATATAACAGCAAGACAAAGTCAAGTAGCCTCTATAGACGTTTAGAATTATAGTCCTATAGGATTTGACCTGTGCTATTTTCTAGTTCCACAGAAATTTGTGTAAAGTTACGATTTTAGGGGTTTACGTATTTTAAAAGAGTTGCTGTCCAAGAATAAACACTAAGGGATGAGCTGAAGTCTAAGTTGGATTACTTTTCCAAACAGTGAACGTACTTGAGTGCATCTCGACTGGTTACTTAAGTGAAGCCCTCCATTTAGCCGCCCAGTTTTGCCCAGCCCTGCTGGCATCGTCTTAACTTGGTTGAACAGCAGCATTTGCGGACAGAAAAGCTTCCGTTTTAGGAAATAATTCAATTCCAGGCCCTGAGATGTGCCCAGGTATGTTTTCAGATAACCAGTTTCCTCTCTCCTTTGTGCTCCAGCTTGATGGTTGGGACAAATTAGGAGAGTGAGGGCTGCTCCTCACGCCAGAAAGGGCTACACGGGAGCCACTGCCCACTTCTGACGAGCCCTCTGCCTGAAGAACAGCTCGGGCACGCTTACAAATTTTGGCTGAACCAGAACATGCGACCTGAGGCTGCCCCTGGAGTGTCTTCCCAGGTCATGAGTCTGTGCACTCGGGGCCACCCCAGCCACAGATGTGCAGGAGCTGCCTGGCCTGACTTTTTGCTGAAGCTCTTAATGCCACAAGCGTTCTTCTGATGGTCAACCTCTTGGACTCAGACAACCTGGAACCCCAGACTGGACTCCATCTGAAGGGCAGGTTTAGCATCTGTCCACTTGGGTCGAGCAGCCCCAGTCACACCCCAAGTGTGGGCCTGGGTCCCAGGTAATGCACTAGGGTTTTCTAGCGCGGTGGCCTCTTTAGTAGGTTTATTTTTAGAGATTGTCCTTCATTTCTGGCATGAAGTAAACTAATAGAGAAACTGGGCATCCCTTCATTTTTGTCTCCTGAAAGGGAAGATGAACGTGGAAAGGGGAGCTTGGGGGTGTGTGCGTGTCTCTCCTCTACTGAAACAACCCGAGGACTGAGAACATTTGTCCCTGATTCATCTCGGAGATGGGCATAGTGCCCTCTTCCAGCTCAAGTCCACGGGACTTTCAGAGCACCCAGCACCCCTCATGAAGGTCATCCCATCCTGTTCACTCGACCCTGATGCCTTTCACATCAACCCCCAGAAACTCATCTGTTCCAGACCATTCCAGCAGCTTCCTGTCTCCCTGTTTCTCCTCGCCCCCATCAGGCCTTCTTCCAGTAATGCTGCTAGAATTAACCTCTAAGACAGAAGGCAGTACTCATTTGGAAACCTCGCCCAGCTCCCTGACCTGTGCTCAGGCCACACTGCTGTTTGGGCAGAACATACTGTGGTCTCCCTGCTTCTGTACAGGCCTCTTCTGGGGTTGCCCCAACCCTGCCCCCAGTGCTTTCTCCTTCCTGGCATCTTGTCTTCCCCACTGGGCCCCTGGGCTGGAGCAGATCTCACCGACAGACTCCTCAGGAGACCTGGTGGCCTCACTCTTCAAGAACAAGACATGCGGGCTTCCCTGGTGGCAAAGTGGTCGAGAGTCCGCCTGCCGATGCAGGGGACACGGGTTCGTGCCCCGGTCCGGGAAGATCCCACATGCCGCGCAGCGGCTGGGCCCGTGAGCCATGGCCGCTGAGCCTGCGCGTCCGGAGCCTGTGCTCCGCAACGGGAGAGGCCACAACGAGAGGCCTGCGTACAGCAAAAAAAAAAAAAAAAAAGAACAAGACACGCATACGCACCTGGGAAAAGTGCTGAATTGTAAGAAAAACATGATTCTATTTCTGCTTAACGTGCCTTTACTTGGTATCTTACACATGTATTCACACACAAACATCCCTGCCTGGAACTCTTTATTCCAGAATAATGTTTCTGTGAAGCTCTGTGGTGCATGACAGAAATCTAGACTTATGGTTTCAGGAGAGACATTTTCCTTCATGTATTTATGGTTGAAACCAGTGGGAAGGATTGAGACCCAACTGTCACAACCAGAGAACTTGGGCACTGAGCCAGGACCGAGAATGCAAGAGGCTGCCAGCCGTGCACTCAGTGGGGACAAAAACAGCAGATCCTACCTTGTGTGTTTCTGGCATTAGCATATAAAGTTCCAGCAGGTTCTTTCCCCTGTGAAATGTGGTGCTTGCCCAACACCAGCTCTGGGCCTGCATGCCAGCTGTGGATGTGCTGTGTCTCACTCAGCCCCCGCCCTCCCAAACCCATGTACATTTCTGCCTTCAGTTAAGCCCTGCCCTCAGGCACACATAAAAGAAACCACTTCATTTGCGGAAAGCAAGGCTGAGTTCCCAGAGTTCATAGGACAAGACCCTCGCAGCCCTAAAGAGAAGAAAATGGACCAAAGGCAAATCACGAATAGAAGTGTGGGAGTAAAGAGAAAAGGGTCTCCGAGTTGGAGGGAGGGATGTGGCTTCCCCAGGTCCTGGCCCCCAGGACTCCTCTGGAAGCAGCACCAGTTCTGAAGGGCAGCGGAAGAGCAGCCGTTCTCAGTCAGGGTCCGAGTCAGGGTCCGAGGAGAGCTGTCCCTCCATGGTCTCGCACATGGCATCCTGCAGGGATGTGAGCTGACCCCGGGGACTCATCCCCATGGGCTGGATGACTCTGTGCCTGAGGGGAAAAGGCATGGAAGGGAAGGGCAGGGGTCCTGCTCACCCCTGGCTGCGACCTTCTGTTCCACCAAGCTGCTCCTGTTTACTGGGGAAGCCTGGGTGGGAACTGTTTCAGTCAGGCCTAAATCCTAACTGCTACCTAAGCTCTGAGACCTTAGGCAGTGTCTTAATTTCTCTGGGCCTCAGTTTTCATCAACTGTAAAGATGGACCTAATACTGATCTCAGCCCTAACCCCTGGCTAGAGAATTTCCTCCAAGACAGGTGATTTCAAACATTAGTAACGCAGCCCCTGCCAGAACCTAACCCCCACTCTGATCCCACTTCCTGCGGCTCGCAAGACAGGACGTGGGTCCTTCTCCTTTGTCCCAGCGCTGGGCCCCTCCTGCCAGGCCACATACCTGGAGAGCTTGTCAAACATGTTCACCAGCTTCATGGCCTCATGCTCTTTCTGCTCCTCTGTCATGCCCTCCATGGGGTTGGGAGGCTTTTCCTCTACCCTTCCAGTCACTGGGTTTATGCTGTTTCACAAGAGAGGGAGCATGGGGAACGTATCAGTGACTTTGCAGGACAAAAGAAGGCTGTGTAGGGTGAGTGGAGTTCCTTATCTTCCTGCTTGGGCTTGTAATGGCAAGAAACCCATTTTCCTGGGTGCGGGGAAGGCAAGGCAACTGCAGAAAAGCCCTCCCTCCTGGAGCAGCAGGTAACCAGCTCCTGCCGTCTGGACCACCTGGTCCCCGGCACTACTCGGCCCCCTTCAGCCGGTGTTCTCAACAAAACACCCTGATGTCAGAATACGTGTCACTTGGGAACAGCAGCCTGATTCTATAAGGTTTTACCTGCTGGTCACCCTGTCTTGCCCACCCTACGGGCCCAAATGGGTGTGGGAATAGGAATGGGGGCCGAGTGAGGGCAGCCCGAGGATGTGGGGGGCACACACCTGGCCTTGGCTTCCTTGTACTCGTCTGTGTCCGTGTCCTCGTCCTCCGAGTACTGGCCCTCAGGCCGGCCCCCTGCCATGAGGCCCCTAGCAGCCAGGAGGCCGGCAGCATTCCCGTAGCCTGTGTACTTGATGAATCGGGGCACTGAAGGGCAGGGCACAGGTCAGTGTGCAAACGTGGCTGGGGAGGGGCAGGCGAGGGGCTGGCCCCCCGACTCACCGCTTTCAGAGCACAGGACAAACAGGAACTCGGCTGCCACCCTCTTCACGTCGGTGTCCAGGTGCGTCATGAGGCGAACCAGCTTGTTCCGCAACAGCTCCCCCACCTCGGGCCGGGTCCTCACATCCCGCAACGGGGGCAGCACCTGGGGATGTAGTTGTCCCTGAGCCCAGGCCTGGAACGACCAGGGTCTCTGACCAGGGCCTGACCGCGGCCCCTCTGCCCCGTACCTGGGCCTTCAGGAACTTCCTGGCAGGGCGGTGCATGCGGGCACACTCCGTCAGCACGCTCAGCACGGGAGCCACACTCTCCTTCAGCCTGTGCGTCTGCAGAGAAGCCTCTGTCACTGGACTGCGCCCATCTGACTCGAGGCCAGGGGAGCTAGGCACATGCACCAGATGGTCCTGGCAGGAGGCGTTCGGGACGAGGCCCCGCCACAGGGGCCCCAGCTGAGGGGCTAAGAGAGGGCAGTGGGTGTCTGTGTGAGCTTCGAAAAGGACAGGCATGGACCCTAACTCAGGGCCGTTTGCATGCCCTGCAACTTGAGGCAAATCACTCAACTGCTTTGAGTCTCACTTCCCTCCCTTTACACCACAATGGTGGGGAAAACAGTGTCCCAAGCTGTTAGCACACCGCCAAAACACAAACCAGCTCCCAGGGCACGCAGGCAACGTGGATTCCCCGGGGCCCTACCGAATCTCTTTGGCTTGCGTGATACATCTGCGAACGCCAGGGGGGCTAGTTAGAGCACTGGCTGGCCAATGCCCTGGGGTGCAGCCGCAGGAATCAGGGAGCCTCTGGCTTGAAGGCCCTATGGGTCCCCTTAGGGACGCCAAGGCACGGCCGATGCTCGTCACCAAGGGCTGCTTGTGCTCAGTGACACTTTGAGTTTAGGGTCACAAGCAGGGACTACGGGTGGGCGGGCTTCTCAGGGCCACTCAAAGACCCACAAGGAGATCTAAGAAAATGAGTCCTTTGCTAGATTCTGAAAACTTGTTTCTGTATACTTCTCAGGGAGAAGGGTCCAGCCTCCTGCGTGGCCGGACCGTGGAGGAGCTGGAGCGTCACCTGAATCACACTGGGGGGCTGATCTCCACCTCCCAGCGTGGACTACAAAAACGCAGCGACCACAGCTGCTCGGGAAAGCCTGGACCAGAGCCACAGCAGCTCCCCCTGCCCACCTGGTGCAGACGCTTCTCCAAGAAGCTGAGGAGAACACGAATCACATCCATGTTCACTCCCAGGAACTCCAAAGAGCCTTCGTGGGGTTCCAGGGTGAGAAGAACGTCCAGACATTTGAGGGGCAAGTTCCCCAGGAGGTTCACCGTGTGGCTGGGGACAGATGAAAGAGGCATTTGGTAAATCCAATCCCCGAGCCCAGGTACAACGCTTGCCACCACCTGCTGGGGCCACGATATGAACCAGCGTTGGGGGCCTGAGCAACAGCACGAGGTACCAGAGCTGAGGGGAACACTCCCTGCGAACGGCCGACCTAGTGCACATCTGGGTTGAAGCAACGCAGTCAAAAATCAGAACCTGCATATGCGTAGGTTAGCAACAATGGACGTGAACAAGCGTGCTGCCTTACAGATACCATACTGTCCGTGACGCTACCCAAAGTCCACTGGCACGTTCCTGTCCCCGGACTCACAGCTCTTGTCCTAGCTGTGTACTGTAAATGCCGGAGCTCCCCGGAAACACACTGACGTCCGTCTCACCCAGGTGAAAGAAGACTCTAGAGCTAGGAACCACCAGGGAGACCTGCGAGCAGAACGCCCCCCGCACGACAGGCACCACCCTCACCCGTGGAACTCCTCTGTGCGGTCTCCAGCAGCAGCAGCCATCACGCAGTGCCGCAGAAGGGTCCCCAGGTGCCGGTAAAGGGCAGTGTCTTCCTGACCAAAGAGAGAAAGATTCCTGTGAGAGAGAGCCCCGCTCGCCCCCATCGCTGCCAGCTGAGGTTCTACCGTCTGGCCCACCGCAAGCCCACGCGCGCTAATTACACACCTCTACTGTACACCTAGGTGCTGTCCTCTCCCACGCGACCTGAAGAGCACCCTCCTGACTAAGAACGTTGACGGATCCCTTTGGAGCTGCTCTGCGCTTTAGGTCCATGCTCACAGAGGCGTGGTGATGAGTCTCTCACAGCCTCCCCCCACCAAACAGCCCTCCTGCCAAGCTGCAAGAGCCAGTTATGCTCTCCACTGCCCTGAGAAAACTTCCTTGAGGGCCCTGTCCCGGATGGGCATCTCCCTGCCTTCTCTTGACAGGCTAAGAGTTCCTCCTGGTCTGACGTGGAGAAATTTGAAGGTACCTGGCAAAGCAGCACGTCCAAGAAACGTCCAAGTTGTCATACCCCACCCACAGGCTAAGATCAGCCCTCACCTCGTCCACTTCCCTCTTGATGGAGTCGAAGGTGATGTTGAAGAGCACTTTGAGGATCTCCATGGCTCGCTCAGTCTCCTGGGGAGGCAGGAGCTCAGGGGGCCTCTCTCCAGGGGTCATTCCCAGCGTCAGCTCCAGCGCTTCGGTCAGCAGGTGCACTCCCTGCAGTTCCTGAAACAGCTGCTGGCGCACATCGGCGCGAAGTGCCGTTAGCAAGAAGAGGAGGCGCAAGTCAAAGAACTGGACGTCGTGCGGGAAGCTGCTCTGGCGGTACAGCCCCACTCGCTCTGCGAGCCTCACCACTAGACCCGCCTCTGCCGCCAGCACCTGTGCCACGGGGCTGCTTAACACAAGGTTGCACAGGCACTTAAGGGACTCAAGCACAACGTCCATGTCCAGGGGTTCGGGGACCGAGCCCTGGGAGGCGGAGATGCCAGCATAGCAGGCAAGTGCCTGCAGGCTCCGGCGGCTGGTGAATGAGTCCAGGCAGCTGCGGTCCCTAGACAAGATGCGGATGCTCTGCAGCCAGATGATGCGGCGGGAAGGTGGCAGGCCCTGCTCCAGGACCGAGACCAGCAGCTCCGCCAGTCTCTGTGGGCAGGGAGAAGAGCGGTTCCACCAGGCTCCTCTACCTGGGCCACCCGTCCCTGCTCCTCTACCCTTCGTTGAGCACCCACCTTCCTGTCCTCCTGTTGGGCAGCATCAAACGTGAAACTCTGGCAGTTCTGCAGAGAGACCCAGAGGCTCAGAAGGCGCAGGCCCACCGCGGCAGAACCCGGGCTCCGTGGATAGGGACCTGAGGCCGCAGGCACCGCTCGGAACAGATGGCGCCCCAGCCCCACACACCAGCCCCCACAGCAACTCCTCAGAGACTTGGCGCTCCTCCCCGCCGCGTTCCCTTCCACCCTCAGCCCCTCGCCACGCTCACCACTCACGCCCCCGCCGCCGGCCACGCGTGCGGACCCCACCCGGCCTCACCTCCTCCCTAAACGTCCCGCTCACCTCCCGGTTGTATGCGCGAAGAGCCTCCATAACTACGTCCTCCTCCCCCGTCTCCACGGCATCCGCAACCGCCCGGGGCTCCATGGCGGGCCCGGGACCCGGCGCCGGGAAAGCGGGAAGCACCTCGCTTCACGGTTCCCGGCCTCCGTCTGCCTGCCCCGCCCAGGCTCGGCGCACCGGGGTGGCCACGACCGGGCTTGCGCGGCGCCGCGGGGCGGGGCCTGGGAGGCGCGCGGGGGAGGCCGGGACAGGGTGTGCGCGGCGGGGCGGGGCCTGGGAGGCGCGCGGGGGAGGTCGGGACGAGGCGTGCGCGGCGCCGCGGGGCGGGGCCTGGGAGGCGCGCGGGGGAGGTCGGGACGAGGTGTGCGCGGCGCCGCGGGGCGGGGCCTGGGAGGCGCGCGGGGAAGGCCGGGACAGGGTGTGCGCGGCGTAGTCTGGGCTGCGCGCGCCTTAAAGTGGCGAGCCCTGGAACAGCCCCCCTCTAGGACCCCGAAGGCTTTGCCGCCAAGTGAACTTGGGCCTCAAGATCCGACTCGGTGATCGTCCGACCTCTGGGCCCGAATCGCCCCTGAACCGAGCGGCGAGCCTCGCTTCTTGGGCCGGAATTCCCTGTAGGAGAGGACCTCAGCCCCCCACCCTTCCATCACACGAACACCAACACTCCTCTTGCTGCACAGAACGAATGAGATGTCCAGGAGAAAGCCGAGGTGGAAAGGATTTTGCAACCCCGGGACCACTTGGTTTCTAACCAGGCGTTTGAGTGCCTACTGCATGCGAGGAGCCGGGATGCGGGTGAACAGGACCCAAAGGTCCCTGCCTTCGTGCAGCTTATGTGCCAGAGGTGAAGACCAAGAAAAACGGGCAAACGAGACGACTTTAGGCATAGTGTTGTGATCGAATAAGAAAAGGGGCTTGATGGACTGCAGGGAGACCTGAAGAAGTGCCATTTTTGCTGAGACCGGTTGGTAAGAAGTGAACCAGGAAAGGATCTGAAAGAAGGTCATGGAAGGTAGAAGGAGTGACCAGTACAAAGGTGGGAATGGCCGTGGTGGGAGATAGAAACGTCATTGTTGTGGCTGAGAGAAAGGGGAGAGTGGGGAGGGGAGGTCAGGATGAAGGCAAAGCCTGGTCATGTGCGGTGACTTCCTTGCTGTTTAAGCAGGCACACCTGTTGGTCTGGCCTGGACTCAGTTTACTACTTGAAAAGCAGAGATGATAAAAGTTCCCATTTCAGTGGATTGTCAGGCGGACTAAATGACACACAGCAAATGCTCCATTACGTTGGGTGGTAACTTATAGTCCATCCACTGGGCAAGAAGGCTTTGTTGAGTATCTACTTTGTGTCAGGCCCCTTGTCAGTGCCCGGGTGCAAAGTCAAGAAGCACTGACTTCTACCGTCCCCACTCCCCTTACGCTCCCACTCCTCTTCCTGGTTTCTTGTTTTCTTCGGAGTGCTTCACCCCTGCGACTTCTGCACTGCTCGCTGGTTCCAGGCACTTTCTAGGCACTGATCTCCACTTTGTTCCGCCGGCAGTAACTGGAGCCGGCCTTCGCACCGAGTCCGCTTCTTAGCCGCACCGCAGCCGGGCGGGCCGGGTCGGGCCTCAGGACCCGGGCGCGGTCGCGGCGAGGAGCCTCTCTCGCCTGGGAAAGGGCCCGTGAGCTCTTCACAGTTAGGACCTGAAGCCGCCTTAGGCGGGAATGGCTGCGGGAGTGTTTGTCGGCACCCTAATTGACATTAAAGACACCAACCACCCAGGGGTCCCAAAAGCAAAGGGCTCGCCCCATCCCCAAGCCAAGCTGTGGAAGAAACGTCAGATCCTTCCCTTCCCACTGCCGCACCCCCGCGGCCTGGACCTCGGCCGGAAGTCGGAGGCCCTGAGGCGGAAGGGGCGGGACCGGAAGCCACTTCCCGCGAGTGTGCCACGTCAGAGGAGGTTGTGGCCGAGCCGGTGACGGATCCCCGGGTCGGAGCTGTACGGGATGGCGGACTGGGCTCGGGGTGAGTGCGGGAGAGCCGAGGCGGATGGCGGCGGGGCCCGCCGGCACCGACGCCGCTGCCCGCAGGAGCCGCCTTTGCCTGCCCCCCTTCCCGCTGGGTGGCCTCGTCCGGGAGACCCTCGGGGCGGGCGGCGACGGGGCAGGGCGGCCGGGCTGCAGCCAGCAGCACGGTGGAGGAGTCTCTGGGGCCCTGTGGGCGCTCCTGCCCAGCTGCTCCGTGAAGCTGCTGGGTCCGGAGGCCCGCAGTCCCCACCCCTGCGAGATGGTTCTGTCCGGGACCTCGGCCGGGCCGCCTGGTCGACGGGTCCCGGAGGCTAGCCCCCTCGGAGTGGGGGCTGCGCGTGATGAGAGGGCCCAAGCAGGCCGCGTACGGACTCGGGCTCAGGGTGCCCCACTTGCCCCCTGGGAGCCCCTCTTCTCATTTGCCAAGTGGAATGCTGTTGCTTGTTTCGCTGGGCTGTTGTGACCTTTAAGGAATTAATGGATACAAGGAGTTGGTAGAACGCTAACGCCTCTAATTTTGGGGTCTGTACACATTCGTGGTTCTTAGGGCTGTGCTCCTATTAGATGAGTCTCATTGAGGTTTCTGGGCCAAGGCAGATATGCACTCTGAACTTTGGGGGAGGCAGTTGTCACCCACCCGATAGGATGGTAATTTTAAATCACCAAGCCCAGCCCCTGTCGTGGGCCAGGTCTCAGCAAACACCATGCTCTGGGTGTCATACAAGGCCCTGTGTGGGGTGCAGAAGTGAGCAGACCTAGGCCCTGCTCTTGGGATCAGTCTCAACCTTTGTTACTAAGGCTTTCCTAAGGCTTTACCAGAGTTCACTGGTTTTCTCTGAGAACAGGTTCTGTGTACGTCGCTGGTGATATCCATGGAGGGATGGTACAGGTTCTGTCACAGAGTGTCAGAAAGTGCTGGTTGGACTGAGCTCTTTGGAGGTGCCTACGCATCCCAGCCTGGATGAGTACACAGGACGTGTGCTCACGCACACTTGTTTATACAGTCTGTCTTGTGTGTGGAGTCCACGTGTTGGATCCTGGGTTAGGGCGGGACCTGCTCAGTAGACTCAGGAGGGCCCAGTACCTCCGGACACCCGACTGGGCCAGATGGGATTGGAGTGAGAGCCCTGAGGCCACAAAGGGCTGAGGTGCAGGGGATGCTCGTGGGCGGATGCATGCCCTCAACCTCTGTCTTTACTTGCAGCTCAGAGCCCCGGCGCTGTGGAGGAGATTCTGGACCGGGAGAACAAGCGGATGGCTGACAGCCTGGCCTCCAAGGTCACCAGGCTCAAATCGGTCAGTGGTGGTCCTCTCCTTTTGCCTCCACCTAGCATCCTGGAGGGGGTATCGGAGGGAGGGTGAAAACCTGGAAGGGTTTCAGGTAGTTCCATCATCCTTGTCCCGTCTGTGGCACACTCACTTGTGTGCGGCCCAGGTGGCATTTGGATCTCCTGACCGCTGCTGGTCTTGCTGGGGGTCAGGTGCTGTCCACTGTGTTTGTCCTGGTCTGACCCTGCCTCTTCTGTGTTCTGACCAGCTGGCCCTGGACATTGATAGGGACGTGGAAGACCAGAACCAGAGCCTGGGCGGCATGGTAAGGCCCGTGTTTTGCGAGTGTCACGGTCACCTCTGCTCCCCACCGCCTGCTGTGCAGCCCCCACATGTGTGTGTGTTGTGGGGTCACCGCCCCTGTGTGATGATGATGGGATTCCTTCCTCAGGACACAGATTTCACGAGTGTGACGGGCCTCCTCACGGGGAGCGTGAAGCGATTTTCCACAATGGCACGGTCTGGGCGAGACAACCGGAAGCTTCTGTGTGGTATGGCCGTGGGCCTGATCGTGGTCTTCTTCATCCTCTCCTACCTCCTGTCGAGGCCAAGGACGTGAGCCAATGGGAGCTGGCTTCTGCGGGTGCCTCGGGCAAGCATGGTCCGCCTCTGCCTGGCGTCCTGAGCCAGAGAACTTAACGACAAAATACTCCTTTGAAACGATGATTGTGGCTTAGGAATCTTGTTCCTGTGTGGCTGGGAGGCTCTGACGCAGTGAGCTTGTGTTAGCTGGTCCCACGTGTGCAAGGGGCCCATCTTCATGGGGTAGCCAAGGCCCACTTCCTCTGCCACCTTGGGTGCTAGCAGCCCCAGCAGAGTCAGGTCCAAGCAGAGCAGCTGGGAATCCTGGACACGGTCACCTGTGAACAGCAGCTCTTCCCCTGGCCCTCGAGTTTCTGAACATCTCCAGGCTCTTCTATGCTGTTCTTGTCTGGATAAGGCCACGTCTGGTATTTGAGATGCTTGGAGCTGACATAGGAAGGGGGTGTGGTGGTGAACCTCAAATCATCGCTGTCACCTTCAGCCGAGTGTTCTCAACCCAGAGATGGCAGTTGCTCCTGCCCAGAGCTGCTGGGCATCTGTGGACCAGTGGAAGTCAAGGGTCCTGCCGAGAGGCCTCTTCTTGCCTTCCAGTCCCACAGCTGAAGCCCGACCCTCAGGGAAGGGCAGGGGTTGTGGATGGAGTTGGGAACTGCAGCCTTCGGTGAAAGCATGGGGCTCACATTCTGGTGATCTCCTGGCCATGTATCCAGGTGCAGAAAGTGATACTTTCTCACGATTCAAGATCTACCCAGAGCACCAGAGATCTATTTCCAGGAGACCAGATCTCTGGAAACAAGTCTATCTGGCATTTCAGAGTCAGGCAGGGTGTGAGGAGGGACTTTCGTGGGTATAGACAGGAGGCTTCCAAGTAAGGACTCTTCATAGGACCTAGAGGTTAGTTTCTGAGGGTCAGCGGGCAGTTTCCACCAAGCCTGGCCCTTCCACTGTGGTGTTTGCCCATCTCTCCCTGGGCCCTCAGCGCCCACTCGGTCAGTCCCCTGCTCACTCGAACCTCGAACTGAACCACAGGCCGAGCCAGACTAGTGGCTTCTTACCCCACTGAGACCTCAGTATCCTTGTCTTCACAAAAAACGCTTATAAGAAACGAGTCACCGGCTGTGTCCTTCCCTGCCCTTGTTCGACCTTCTGGTTTCCTAGTCAGCCCCCCTTACTCCCTGAGGGCTACTGGCTCACCGTCCGCCTCCCCGCACGCTCGTGCCACGCGCGGTCACGTGCGCCAGCCGCATCTGCTGCCCCACGTTGCTGGTGTCTGGCCCCGGGCACCGCGCCTCTGGTGCCGCTGCTGCGCCTCCCCTCGTCCTCCGCCCAGCAGGCTGGCTTCACCTCGCACGCTTGCCTTGGTGCCCTCTCTTCCGCTGTACCTGCGACCTGAGTGCGCCGTCCCGTCCAGTGTGTGCTTGTGTCTCCCCCGGTGAGACTGCCTTGCTTGTCTCCGTGTCTCTGGGGCTTGGCTGTTTCCCTGTCCTCCTGGACGTTCCTTCGCAGGTCTCTGGTCCTGCCTTGACCCCCAGCGCCCTGTGCGCTGCGGCTTTGGCTTCGCCTGCTTCTCATCTCACACTGAACCTTGTCGCGGGGCTTCGTCCTCTGGTCACCAAGCTCAACAGCTGCTGCCTGTGCAGTGTCTCCATCTGGTTGCCACAGGCCCTGCAGATACACCGAGACCTGAGCTCCGTGGCCCCCACCTTGTCTGGGCCTGCTAACCTTGCTTCCTGAGAACGTGGCTCAGCCATGGCAGCCTTCCCCCCGCAGATGCTTTTATGTGGTGTGCCCCCTTGTCTTGCCAAGGCAGACCAGGAATTTAGGGTTTGCCTTCAGGGTGGCACACCGGCTGCTGTGTTCTCTCCTCAGGTCTCCGTCTGTGCCTCCCCACCTCTCCACCTCCACGGCTCTTTGCAGCCCTTCCACCTATTTGGGGGTCTGGGTTCTAGTTTCTTTCTGGTTTACTTTCTTGCTTCCTACTCTCATTGTGTTAGGTGAATTCCTGAAGGGAGCAGGGCACCCCTGCTGCCGCTGTGTCGGCAGGGTTTCCTGTGGGGCCTTCCCTGCTCAGCCGTGTACAGTGAGCACCTAATCCTGTGGGTAAGTGGGGTTTGCCGAGGTTGATCCCGGAGACCATAAAACAGAAGGACTTGGAGCCTCCCTCTGTGCCAGGTGAGGATGAACTGCCAGGTTCTATCCCATAATTCACGGACAACACATTTAGCAATAAAAATTTGGAATAAAAAGCTTTGTGATGAAGTAAACCCCATAGCCTTTGGTGTTTTCATTTCCTTGGGGGCTTCAGATAGCTTGGTCTGGAACTGACTCTGCTCCATAAACTGGCCGTGGGCACCAATGGTCTGGACTCTGCTGCTTTCCTTCTCCTGGGTCCCTTCTCCCCTCCTCACTCATCCCCTCAGGCGGGCAGACGTGAGCTTGCCACTTCCTGTTGCTGGACCTTCCTTTGCGCAAGTTTCTGTGACTCAGATGATAGCATTACCTCTTCAGGATTAAAGGGATGCAGGTGAGGTGTTTAGAACAAGTAGCCTGACACGGATACAGCTGAGTGAGGGTCAGCAGCTGTACCATGCTTGGTGCAGCTGCAGTCCACAGTCCCACGGGGGTGACAGGGCTGCCTGCCCAGGGCTAGGGTGAAGGTTAGACTTCATTCCTCAAGGCTGGCCTTGGACTCCAGGGCATCCTCTGGAAATGCCCCTCTTCATCACAGCTCAGACACCCCCTTCCCTGCACAGATCTTATGCTTCCCGTATTATCTTTGATGTTTAACAGATCACCTTCAAATGTAGTCACTTAAAGTTGCAGTAATACTTTATGTCTCATGGTTACTGCTGGAGTTTGAGACAGGCAGAGCGGAGATAGTTGCCTCTGTGATGTTAAGGTCTCCGTTTGGAGACAAGAGACTGGCACTGCCACTTGCTGAAGGCTCACACATGTCTATAGGTCATTGCTGGTGTGAGCTGGGGGCCCAGCTGGGTTCACTGTGTTGCCATGTGTTGAGCTTCCTTACAACATGGTGGCTGGTGTGACAGTGAGCAAAGAGAAGAGGGACGTCCAGGCAGAAGCTGTTTTCTTTGCATGGCCTGGCTTCAGAAGTCACGTAGCATCACTTTATTCAGGACGGTCACAGGCTCTAGATTCCAGGGGAGGGACACAGACCCCATCTCAGCAGGGGAGAGGCAGTCACACAGGGAGAGGACCACACGGGAAGGGACGAATGCAGGTGTGACCGTCTTTGGAGGATACAGCAAGGTGCGGAGGGCAGCGCTCAAGGCAGAATCAGAAGGGCAGGCATAGCAGCGTCTGATGCTCCTGAGCCCTCCTCTCTGCTCAGACCCCAGGCCCTGGAAGCTAGGGTGGGACCTGACATGGGCTGGCATGATCGCCCGTGGGGGCCCCTTTCTGGAAAATGTTAATCCTCCCTCAAGGCAAACCATCGCTAACGGAATCCGTGATTTATTGTATATCTGGGCACAGCAGGAAACACGTTTAGCAAATGGGAAAGCATAGAAAAAACAGCTGGTCACGACTGTCCGAGCAAGCATGCTCTGCCCTGCAGGGCCAGGCCGGCTGCAGCCCAGCTGGTAGAGGAGCCGCCCAAAGCCCTCAGCTCAGGGAATCTGTTGTTGGGGGGACATGATGTGCAGAGGCTTAGTTAGCGTGACGGGTGGGGCGGGGCCAGGGCTAGTCCACGTCCACGACCAGGGGTGTCATGTAGTCAGAATGCTTGATGCCAAAGGTGACGATCGGGGCGCGGGGCTTGGTCACTGTCACCTGGGAGAGGAGAGGCTGTGAGGGGCCGGCACCCCTGCCCCCACCCTGCAGGCTCTGCCCTCACTGGGGCTGGGGCTGCTGTACCCCCTAAACCGCCGGCCAAGGTGACCAGCAGGAAGCCCCTCTCAGAGCCTGGTGTGTGGTGACACTCGGCAGCGCTCACCGTCACCAGTGTTTGGGGACACTGGGGACCCAGAGCCTGCCGGCTGGGGAAGGCTGGTGCTGGAACGCACAGTGTTCTGATGGTGCCTGGCCCCCGTGACCCTTGTAGGCTTACAGACCCGTCCCCACCCCACCCCTCCGGGCAGTGCTCTTGCCAGACCTTCTCAGGGCTGTGGGCTCCTGGTCCTGGCTTGTGGGTCTTGTCCCCCGGGGGCTCCACTCGGGCAGCCATGGTGTACTGTGGAGCCTTGAACTTGGTCACCTGGACATCGGTCTGGCGGTAGGCTGCGGGACCTGGGGTCTGGGAGGTGAAAGAGGCTCACACAGGCTCGGCCTGCCAGGGCGTGTGACCCCAGAGGGCAGGGGCTGGCATCAGACACTGGGTTTCAGGCCCCAAGTCACTGTGTGTCAGGGGACTCTTCTGTCTCCAAACGATGGCCACACCATGTGACAGTACCCTAGTGCTGTGGGGCCCTTCTCTGTTTGGGATGTCACCTTCCCTTCAGCCTGGCCGTGGCAATGACACCCCAGTCTGTGCCAGCCCCAGACTTGTCCCTTCCATGAGTGTGTGTGAGAGAGGACTCTTCCTAGTTGCGGACTCAAGGGCCTTGGGCTGGTGAGGTCAGCGGTGCTGTGATGCCACCTTGCCAGTCTCCCCAGGCTCCCCAAGCTCCCGGGTACACAAGCACCTCAGGGCCTTTGCACTGGCTGTTTCTGCAGCCAGAACCCTCCTCCCCCAAGTATGTCACAGCTTATTTTTCTCCTCTTCTCAGCTTCTTCCTGCATGCCACCGTGTCTCACACTGCTCCTCGCCCCTCAGGCGGCACCCCACTCAGGCAGCACCCACACACTGGGTGTTGAGGTGTTCGTCTCTCCCCAGCACCATCGGTCTCCATGCCGAGCCTCGGCCTCTTCGTCCTCCTCCACTGTCTGCCCCTCCTCACCTCTGGGATGTAAACCCGTGGGGGTGGGGACAGACGTGTGGCAGGCTCCAAGAGGATGAAGGAGCTGAGGGGCTTCGGGAGGTTGGGGGTCAGGCTGGTGGGTCCTAGGTTCTGGGGGAAGGGGCCCGAGGGCCGTCTCTCTAGGGGTAAGCAGTGCTCTGCCCGAGCCGGGTGACCCTTGCCTTGTGCAGGTCGTCGCTGAAGCTGCCCAGCTTGCTGCGGCCCTTGATGGAGAAGGCGGGCTGGGAGGCCTTGCCGACAGTGTGGGGCCCCATCACCACGGGCAGCATGTAGGCAGCGGGGCCTGTCGGGGGCACAAGTGCCGAGTCTCAGGCTGGACGGAATCCTGTGCCCGGAGTCTCCACCCCCATCAGGCCAGACCCCTTCACCCGCCCTGCCCGGGATCCTCGACCCGGTCAGCCATGGGCCATCGGGGCTGTGGCGGACCTGGGGTGCTGTCCACTCGGAAGGTCTTGGTTCGGGCAGAAATGGAGTGGCTGGGCGCCGAGTCGAACACATGCTTGGTAGATTTCTCTGGAAAGTAGTGGCCTGAGGGTGGGGGGAGGAATGGTGTGGGTGCTGGGACGGGGAGGACCATCCAGCAGATGCAAACAGGTGCCCGGCCCTGCTCGGGCGGTTCTAGGAAGACCTGCGACGTCGCAGGCCTGGGGCCTCTGGGCCCCAGTGAGTGGCGACCGGGATTGTGCACGGGTGTCCACGATGGAAATGCTGGCTGCAGGGGCTGGGGGGAGGCAGGGGCTGCTTTGAGAAGGAGGGCGAGTCTGACTTGGGCCTGGTGCGGTGACTTTGGCCAAGGAAGGCCCAGGTCAGAGTAGGGCACTAGGGTCTCAGAGGCTGCAGTGGTGTCACGGCTCCACCTCCAGGCCTGATGGTATCCCTTCATGAGGAGAAAGGTGGGTCAGGAGGGTGAGGATGGCTGTACCCCTCACACCCTGGCCCTGCCAGGCCTGCAGTGGCCACCAGCAGGGTTGGGCGGGGCGGGGCTGGGGCTGGGCCAGAGTCCGTCACCAGGGCCGGGGGTCAGCGTGGTCTTAGTGCAGTAGCGCCCCAGGATGGAGTAGGCGGGGCCGATGTCCTTGCCAGTCCTCAGTATCTTGGGGTTCACGCTGTAGCGGGGCCCCGGGGAGCAGTTCTCTGCCAGGAGAATGGGGGCCCCGTGGAAGCTGTAGGCCGGTGCACGCAGCTTGTCAGGCGTGTGCTTCACGAAGCCTGTGGGGCAGGGGCTCTGAGCAGCTTGGAGCCAGACCCTGCCCTTCTCCCCCAGACCCCCCATTGACCCCAGAGGGGTTGATGGGCTGGGAGTCAGGGATGAGCCCTGGCCATCCCCGGGCTCCCCGCAGACCTGGCTCCTGCCCCCTCCCAGGCTCCCAAGCGCTTACCTGTGGTGGGTGGAATCAGGTACTTGGGTCCGGGGCTGCTGTAGAGGGCCATGATGGGTCCCCGGGGGCGATGGGGCCTCCAGGTGCCCACCCATACCTCCTCCGCCATGCCTGGCTCTGTCCACGGATGGAAGAGTGACAAGGTGCTAGGAGGCCTGGGCCCTCCACCCCCATCACTGCCTCTGCCCCCACTGAGGGGCAGAACTGTAGGCCACAGCCTCCTCAGTGGGGTCTTGAGTTGAGGCCCAGACTTCAGAGCAGTGGGAGATTCTGCCGCAGCAACCCGTCCCCCCGCAAGGGGAGGAGCCTCAGAGCCTCGTGGACAAGCCCATGTCTCTTTCAGCGCTCACGGGCCACCCCACAGTGGCTCTGAGGGGGTCTGCGCAGGTGCTTCCTGCTCAGAGGACCCTGGACGTGACTGGGCAAGGAGCAGTGGGCAAAGGTGGGGAACTTCTGGGGTGAGACTGTGCCGTGGGCTGAGCAGGGGTCTGCTCTGGAGGGGCCCTCACCTCCTTAGTCCAGGAGCAATGCTCAGAGCAACCTATGGACCGAGCCTTCTCAGAGGCAATCCCGTCGCACTGGCCTCGGTGCCAGGGAGTCCCAGAAAAGGAGCATGGCGTGGAAGGCCTCTCCCTCTCTCTCCTCTCCCCCTGGGGGCTTCGAGAACTGGGGAAGGGGCCCGGCCCCTGAGCTCTAGAATGTGGCTCTGTGGGGTGGTGGGTTCTAGATCACTGTCCGTGTGATGGAGACAATGGCCTCAGCCCGTGGAACCCGCCCCCCCGCCCATGCCTGGCTCGGGACCCGGGTCTTTGCTCCTTGTTGCAGGGTGCAGGCCAGAGGCGCAGAGGGCAGGAAGGGGACAACTAGGTCCTGGACTAGGACGGTGAGGCCATGGGACCCAGAGTCCGAGTGGCCGAGGAGTAAGGTCCTCAGGGGCAGAGCTGAACCTCCTCAGTCCTGCCCCCGGGAAGGACTGAGCTGGGGAAACTGAGGCACAAGAAGGCTCTGGCTGCTGGGGATGCTGGGATCCAGGGTGCAGTAGGGCTGCCCTGGTTTGGGGTGGGGGCAGGAGTTGGCATCGGAAGCTGCTGCTCTGCTGAGGGCCCTTTCCCTGACCCTGCTCTCCCTCCTGCATCACGCTGGCTGTGCCCGCCCGTCGGACCCTGAGCGTCCTCGTTAGCATGTCCTTCTTGGGGCTCCGGCTGGGGCTCCGTCTCTTTCCTTGGGTGACTTCTCAATCCCCTGGACCCGTGTCATGTGTATATTGTGCACACTTATTGTCTCAAAATGATAACCTTCAGATGCAGAGCGCCAGCACCCAGCCTCGTCCCTCAGCCCTGGCCACTTCCTCTCTCTGGGGCTCTTTGCCCTTCCCCGCTCTGAGCCCCTGCCCCCGACCTCTGCCTCCGCAGGCCTTCTTGTGTCCTGATGCCTCCCTGCGTCTACATGTCTCGCCCGTCTGTCTGTCTTGCTTTGTCCACCTGCCTACAAGGGCGTCTGCCTGGATTTCTGTTGGTGGGTCTGCCCTCTGTGTGGGGTTACTTATACGTGTGTGCTCCGCTCACATGATCCTATGTGTGAGCCTGTAGTTGTGTGCCTGAGGGTGGGGAGAGACGGGAGCCGGAGGCTGAGCTGCAGGAGGCTTTGTTGATTGGCTGGCTTGAGGATACATTCCTGCACAGGGAAGCGGAAGGGGCGTCGTCGTCATGGTCGCCTGTGCGGCTGGTCCTACGGCTGCTTGGAGCCCCGTCTGGGGTCCACTAGGCATCGTCCTGACTGCCCAGCACTTGCACCCGGGAGGCAGACACGTGTGGGCCAAGAGGCCTGGGGTTCCCGTGCCCGGTGATGAGTAACTAGAGAGCCATGGCTCCATCAGGCAAACAGGCCCAGGCCAGCCTCTGGGGGGACGGTGGGCTCTGGACATGGCAGCCGGTCCCCTTCCAGCAGCTGGGGAAGCGGGGTGTGCTCATGTGTGTTTGCATTTGTGTGTGTGTCAGGTGTGAGCGTGTGCGTATGCATGTATGTGCATGTAGGGGGAGGCTGAGGGCTGCTCTGCAGGCAATGAGGTCTGGGATGTCCACCCCTGCTGGCTGAGGCAGGTCAGGGTGTCTGTGGGGTGCTGGGGTACGGGGTTGCTGCACTGGGTGGGTGATGAGGGGCTATGGCATTTGGTGGAGGGCCTGAGGAGTAGGACTGTGGGTCCTGCTAGGGCTGCAGGCCTTTAGGGAGTGGGGTGCCCCCCTGGCCACGGTACCAGCAGCTTGACCAGCTCCGCCTTGTGCATGGGCTGCAGGCCATCTGTGCAGGACTTGAGCTTGGTTACCGCTGCCTTGGCATCTGTACTGACGTCGTACTTGCCCAGGGGCCCCTCACAGAGCTCCTCTGCAGATCCCACCAGCAGCATTTGCAGGAAGTCGATGAAAAACTCGTTGTTGTCCTCCCCCGTGGCCAGTCCTGTGTGGGGATGAGATGAGGCCAGGTCAGGACTCCTTCCAGCTCCACCCCCAGACCTCCCACCTCTAACCTCAGCGGTCTCCAGACCTTCCCCATCAATGTCCCCCTCACCTGCCCCAGATCTTCCTCCAAAACATCCCTCAGCTCCACCTGCCCGTAGACCCCTCCCGTCACCCTAACCTCAGCGGCCTCTTTCCGCTCTGGGTTTCCTAGCGTCACTGAGGAAGGAAAGCCAAGCCTCTGACTCAGTGGAATTTCCCCTCCGTGTGAGGTTGGCTGACCTGGAGCTTGAATCGGGGTCAGGGTCAGCCTGGGCTGGGCTGGGTTGGTGACATTGGGCTTGGTGGTGACACAGGGGCTGGGAGAGAGGTTGAGCTGGGCTGGGGTTGGGGTAGGGTTGCCTGGGGACTGGGGTCGCCAAGGGCAACAGGGTCATTGTCCACATCTGTGTTCTGTGATGGAGGTGGGTTGGGGTGCCTGGGAAGGTGGGCACCAATCACTGCGGGGCCCAGTGCCTGGATTTCTAGCTTCCCACGTTCCTGCCCATTTCCCCCGACACCAGCCCCCCGAATGTGCTGGAAGCACCTGTCAGCGCACAGACTCAGCACGGGTACCGAGCAAGGAGGGCGCCGCCCCCCTTCATGGCGGACGCGCAGGCTCCTCAGGAGCCGCCTGGGCCTGCTTTACGCCTCACAGGCACCTGTCCCGGGGGCGGGTCCGACCTGCCCGTCAGGACGCAGCCAGTGCGAGCAGCGGTGGGGCAGCCGAGGGTGTGTCCTCTCCCCCTGCCCAGCAGTGGTTGCCGAGCAGCAAGGGGCCCGGGGTGCTGTGTGAGGGGTGCTTGGCAAACGTTTGGGGTGAGTGCACAGAGGTAAGGGGGCGACGGGAGCCTGGTCAGCAAGGAAGGGTGGTGTGGCTGGGGACGCTGAGGGCCTCTGGCCTCGCTTGGCTTGCGGCTGAGAGTGGCAGGCTCTTGGGCTAGGCCCAGGCCTTTCTTTTGGGGTAGGAATCCCCCCTCCACTCAGCATGCTTTGTGGGCCAGCGCTGGGCTCTGATACCTGAGACAGCCTGGAGGTCTCCACTGGGGCAGGGGTGGGGGACTTCCTGGGGTCTGCAGATCTGGGCGGTAGGAGTTGGGCCCAGGGCCACAGGAGGCCCGAAGTGGGCAGCAGCCTCCAGGGGATGGAGGGTGGGCCTGAGAGTGACTGAGGGGCGAGGAGCTGGGCCGTCTCTGGGACCTGGTGGGATTACAGTCACTTGCAGGAAGTGAGGAGGGGCTGCAGTCTGACTCAGCTTCCTTCTGTGGTCATCCAGCCTGGGGAAGTCTAGGATCTGGGGGAGACAGTCCAGTGCTATGATGGAGAAAGGGGGCTGCAACACCTGGGCCCATGACTAGACGGCCCCTAGAGCAGTGCTGCAGTCTGGCCTTTACGCCGTGGGCCCTCTTCTCCTGTCCCATGCTGCCACCTGGTGGCCAATGGCATCCTGCAGGACAGGCCCACTCTCCACAGGGCTCCTGTGAGGATCCAGGGTTTCAGGCCCTACCTGGCCCCCAGGGGCTCCTCATTCAGTATTGACACCTCCAGATCAACCTTGTCCGGATTGGTTACCCTGCCTCTGCTTGTCACCCTGCCCCTCACTTGCCCCCAGCTGTCCCTGAGTCTGTCACAGACCACAGACCCTTGTCCTGTGTCCTCTGAGTACTCAGAGCCTCTCATCCACTTGAGTGTCTGTTTATAACAAATAGTCTGTAGCCCCCTTTGCTAACATGAAAGGAAATCCATGGGCGATATAACCTACTTCTGCTCACAATTCCAAGAATGTAGGAGAAATAACGTGTAATGAGGTCATCTGTAACAAAGCAATGTGGCTTCATGAGTGAGACTGCTTTCGGCAAATTTGAGCCCCTCCCCGTCCCCAAAGGCCCAGGGGGTTCTGGTCAGTGGGACAGGCCTTGCTCTGATTATGCTTTGATGGACCCACATCATCTTCTTTAACTTAGTGGTCCTCTGGCTGCTTGCTGGGCCACCTGGAGAGATGTTTAAAGGCGCTGTCCCTGGGCTGTGACATAGTCCAGACCCATGGAAGCAGGGTTCCGGGGGCAGGGCCTGGATATCTGCCCTTCTGAATCCCTCCGGCCCCAGTGGAGACCGCCCGCCCAGCATTTATTCCCCTTCCTCTGCACTTTTCTCCCAGTCTCCAGAGTGCTGTGTGTTGGTTTGATATGATTTCAAATGCACTTTGTTATGACTTGAGTGAAGTTGTTTTAATCCACCAGTTGTTTTATGACCAAGACCAAAAACAGTTTTTTTTGGAAGAAAAGTTGTTTTGATTTAAGAATGAAGTGAGCTGTGTCAGGGTCACTCCCTAGCAACAGGGCACTGGATGCCGGCTCCTGGCTGGTTAAGCCGACTCTCTCGAGAATCTCACAGAAAAGGTACACCTCGACTAAATGTGGACTTTATTCCTGTCATCTCCCCTTGTGTGGGACAACAGTGTAATTAACCTGTCGCTTGTTTGGATTATGTTATGTCTTTATTGCCTTATTGTAAAGAGACATTATCCTGTATGCTACTGGCTTGAGCAGTTATTGTAACTCCCGCCGTGAACCTGTGTTGAATAAACTATTGGCAAAGACAGTCTCAGTCTCTGAGAGTGATCTGCCGCCCCCTCCCGCAACAAAACGGCTGCCCCACCTGGAGGCGGGCTGGGTGCCCCCCTTTACTACGTTTGGATTGCGCCTTTTCTTTTTCCCCAAACGCCGGGCCCCTGGAATCACATGCTATTGAACGTTGCTCCTGCAGCCCTTCACAGGCGCCGTCAGTTACGGAATCCCCAACAATCTCTCATGGTTGCTGAGGATTTGAGCCTCAGTTCTGTCTTGCTCTGCTCACTCCTCCAGGTACCATTCTTGGTGACTCTGCTATGCACATACCTAGCCCACCCCACACCTTGACCTTCGTTCCCCTGGCCTCCTCCCCTCCTGTGGTGTTGCCCTCTACCCGCTTCAGTCAGTCACTGTCAAGGTTATCCCCTGGTCTTTGCAATACCAATAACTGCACTCCCTGCTCAATTTCTTTTTCAGGTGCCCCTGCCTCTGGCCATGTCCTTTCCCTCAGCTCGCTGCCTCTGGTGCGCAGCAGTTACTCAGGAACTGCTCTGGCCAACCATCACAGTCCTACCCACATCCAGTCCACCTGGCCTGGATCTACCGCACCGTGGTTAAGAACATTCCCTCGCTCACGGTCAAACCCCCTTCCTGTCCCACCCTCTCCCCCGACACTGGATAACTCCACCTCTTCCTCTCCACTTGCCCACTCAGCAGGGTGTGCTGACCTCATGTCAAGACCTCGCCTTGGGTGGGGTCTTAGTGCTGCCCACGACTTCTAGATTCCCAGGATGGGTGTCCTCTCATACTTTGAGATGGCTATTGTCACACTGCCCCTCCTGTCTTACCCTCTGGGCCTCAGAAACTGAATAGGTCAGAAAAAAACTACACATAGTCTTATCACCAAATCTATCAACCTGCCTTCATTTCCAGGTTTGTGTTTCTTCCTGTTGCAAGAGAGGACCTGTCTTCACGCATACCAATGGCAACCCTCCTCTGTTACTTCTCCCCACATGAAGGCTTTGTCATCTCTTTCTGCAGTATCATGTTTTTATCTCTACTGCATCATTCTCAGTGTAACAGGGAAGAGCCAATTCTGTTTCCACGTTGGATCTGTTTCTTTGACGTTAACCTTTGCTTTTCGTTGCTTTTGTTACTATAATCATACATAATGGCCTGCCTCAGGGAACCCTCTGCCTGAATGTTAAAGTGCCTCTGTTCAGCTCACAGGGAGACAATCTGACCCTGCCTACCTGTGAAGGGCCGCAAGAAAGAAGAAAGTAACACATCCCCTCACCCGTTTTGCAAGACTGATAGTCCTTTTGACTTTACTTCCTCACCGCCCCTCCCTCTCTGATCCTATAAAAGAAAGTGGCACCCAGATCCCTCATAAGATGGTTGGGGGCACCGAGTCCGCCATCTTCTCCGTCTGCAGGCTTTCCGAATGATGTCGTGCTCCTTGCCTCTGCGCCTCGTCTCCGATTTACTGGCTTGTCGTGCGGTGAGCGGAGCGAGCTGGGACTCGGTAACATCACCAGCATCTACTCCTGCTGTAACGTCACCCATCTGGAAGCAGAACACAGCACAACAAAAGCCACCCCCTAGCACTAGTGCTGCAGGCTTCCCCGTGGTCCTCAGACCACGCTCCCCTCGGCTTTATCTCACCCTGAGCCCCAGGAGGCTCCCAGCCTTCTGTCTTCAGGTTGCATTTGGCTAACGGGGAGGGACAAATAGATTCTGCATTCATTAACATTCTAGTCATGGATCTTGTTCTGATGGAAAATTACAGTCAAAATGTTCTTAAAAAAAAAAACCCACCGGGTTCTATCAATTCATAACGTGTTTGGTTCATAATTTTCAGAGACGTGCAAATACCAAGATCACATTTGTTAAATTATGGAACTCATCACCGCAACCTGCAAAGGCTCTGTTCTTCTAGTTCTTGAACATTTACTTGTGCCCTATGACCTTAGGTGCCCTCATGAAAATATGTGACATTCCGTTCTGGGACAGAAATACTAAGGTTATTAAATACTGAAGATATCAGACAAGTCAGTATGTCAGACTGTCTGATTCACTTGTTAATGAGGCAGGACTGAACACGGCTGCTTTTCTTGTAGAAACACTGAGAGTTCGTTCGGTAGTCAAATTCTCTTAGCAGGACTCCTCCCTTGGGTAACTATCATATCGGAAAATGGTCTAGACCTTATATGGTTTAGAGCTAACATTTTTGTTCGTAATAAAGCTAAAAAAAAAGTCTTTTTTTTTACATCATCATCATTGTATTCAAATTACATATATCTTTATCAATAACTGTATTCATCAAGTTACGATGAAAAATATTGAAACCAAGCAGGAGGGGCCCTCCTGGCTACAAAAGCCTCTCCATGTCCCCTGTTTCTTGTTTGTAGGAAAAAGGCTTCAGCCTCCTGGACATTCCCAGAGTTCCAAAGGACAGATTCAAACAGTTA